GTTGCCATTTCCTTCCCGACCCAGGGACGAACCTGAGTCTCCTGCATCTCCTGCATTGGCAGGTACATTCTTTATCACTGAGCCACCTGGGAAACCCTCTAACCACAGGACCACCAGGTAATTCCCTGTATGCTGTTCTTTTGAAATGACAGGTTAATGTCATTCAAGAAATGTTTGCCCAAATATCTAACTCTGAAAAACCACAGTATGTCAATCATTCTTTCAAGAATAAATGATGTTCCATAAGAAAGGGGGTGGTTCAGCAAGCAACTCAAATATTTAAAAAATGCTTTTTCTCAAGCTAACATCTTAATTTGAAGGCAGGAGAGGTGTTTTATGTGAACTACCCCTTACGTCATTCTGAATATTAAAACAACAGGTACTCAAGAGAGAAGATTTAATAAAATTCATAATTAAGTGCTTATTCAATAACATTCTAAAATGAGTTTGGCATTTCTTCCCACAGGTGCCTACTGGTAAAGAATATAATATTTACTAGTACAACTTTGTACTACTGCCTTGATTTATTCTAAAACTCTAGCAGTTTTACCTATTTCTTTACACTGTCAATGTAAATATCCATACAGTGAAAGGGCAAATACAGTTTTAAAAAATTTTTCTATTGGAGTATAATTGATTTACAATGTTGTGGGACAAATACTGTTTCAATGTTATCACTATAGGCTTGACATTGTGAATCCCTTGAAAGGTTTTGGGGTACCTCCAAGATCTCTAAACCACAGTTTGAGAAACATTGCTTTATTCCAATAGGACTGAGATGATTCAAAGCTTGGTATTAATCCCTATTAGAACAGGTCTATTTTTATTTCACTCTTACTTCGGGTTGTGGCTCTCTGAATCCTAACAAAAGCCTAGGTGTTTTTCGTGACCTCTGTACTCTGACAGACTTTGAACTCCAATTTTTGTTTATAAAAGGTCTCCTTTGCTTCTCATGTAGGAATAGGCAGATACCTTAAGAGGAAGATGCTAGGCTTACTCTCTATGAGTTTTCCTTCTCTTCTGATCCTGGCACCACAAACCCTAGGTGGAGTTAGCAAGCATGCATATATTTTTTAAATATTTTGTCCAATATTTCTGATTGTTCAATAAGATATTTGGCTCAGACCATCAAGATGTCATTGTTGAAAGTCTCTAGGCATTAAACTAGAAAGTTTAATGTTGCTTTTATTATTTAAGTATAAATTATGTTTGCTGTAAAAAATTTAAAATAATGCATATAAAGTTTGGAACAGTATCTTCTCTTTTTTTACCATGTCTCCCCAGTCTCCTTCCATTCCTTGGCCTTTTGCAAAGAAAAACATTTGGTTGACTTGATGTATGTTCTTTCACTCTTTCTTCTGTAGATTTAGAAATACATATATACATATGTATTTACACATGTACATTTTAAATATGTACATATTTAAATACATACATTTAATATGTATGTATTACATACATATTAATAAATACATACATTTAATATGTATATACACATGTACATTTCAAAAATATATAAATGGGTTCATGCTACATTTTACATTTCTTAATTTTCTCTTACAGAATAACATTAACTTTTTACTTAACTCAATGATTAATAACAATGGTTATCATTTTTCAAGTGCTTGTATGTGTTAAGGTAGTCTGGTATTCCCATCTCTAAGAATTTTCCACAGTTTGTTGTGATTCACACAAACAGAGGCTTTGGTGTAGTCAATAAAGCAGAAGTAGATGTTTTTCTGGAACTCTCTTGCTTTTCTGATGATCTAACAGATGTTGGCAATTTGATCTCTGGTTCCTCTGCCTTTTCTAAATCCAGCTTGATCATCTGGAAGTTCATGGTTCACATACTGTTGAAGCCTAGCTTGGAGGATGTTGAGCATTACTTTGCTAGCATGAGATGAGTGCAATTGTGTGGTAGTTTGAACATTCTGTGCATTACCTTTCTTTGGGACTGGAATGAAAACTGAACTTTTCCAGCCCTGTGACCATGGCTGAGTTTTCCAAATTTGTTGGCATATTGAGGGCAGCACTGTCACAGCATCATCTTTTAGGATTTGAAATAGCTCAACTAGAATTCCATCACCGCCACTAGCTTTGTTCAAAGTGATGCTTCCTAAGGCCCACTTGACTTCACATTCCAGGATGTCTGGCTCTAGGTGAGTGATCACACCATCGTGGTTATCTGCGTCATGAAGATCTTCTTTTGTATAGTTATTCTGTGTATTCTTGCCACCTCTTGTTAATATCTTCTGCTCCTGTTAGGTCCATACCATTTCTGTCCTTTGTTGAGCCCATCTTTGCATGAAATGTTTCCTTGGTATCTCTAATTTTTTTGAAGAGATCTCTAGTCTTTCCCATTCTATTGTCTTCCTCTATTGCTTTGCATTGATCACTGGGGAAGGCTTTCTTATCTCTCCTTGCTATTCTTTGGAACTCTGCATTCAAATGGGTATATCTTTCCTTTTCTCCTTTGCCTTCAGCTTCTCTTATTTTCTCAGCTATTTTTAAGGCCTCATCAGACAACCATTTTGCCTTTTTGCATTTCTTTTTCCTGGGGATGGTCTTGATCACTGCCTCCTGTAAAATGTCACAAACCTCCATCCATAGTTCTTCAGGCATTCTATCAGATCTAAACCCTTGAATCTATTTGTCACTTCTACTGTATCATCGTAAGGGATTTGATTTAGGTCATACCTGAATGGTCTAGTGGTTTTTCCTTACTTTCTCCAATTTAAGTCTGAATTTGGCAATAAGGAGTTCATGATCTGAGCCACAGTCAGCTCCTGGTCTTGTTTTTGCTGATTTGTTTTTGCTAACTGTGGAAAATTCTTAAAGAGATGGGAATACCAGACCACCTTACCTGCATCCTGAGAAATCTGTATGCATGTCAAGAAGCAACAGTTAGAACTGGGCATGGAACAACAGACTGGTTCCAAATAGGAAAAGGAGTATGTCAAGGTTGTATATTGTCACCCTGCTTATTTATATGCAGAGTACATCATGAGAAATGCCAGGTTGGATGAAGCACAAGCTGGAATTAAGATTGCCAGGAGAAATATCAATAACCACAGATATGCAGATGACACCACCCTTATGGCAGAAAGTGAAGAAGAACTAAAGAGCCTCTTGATGAAAGTGAAACAGGAGAGTGAAAAAGTTGACTCAAAACTCAACATTCAGAAAACTAAGATCATGGCATCTGGTCCCATCACTTAATGGCAAATAGATGAGGAATAAATGGAAACAGTGACAGACTTTATTTTCTTGGGCTCCAAAATCACTGCAGATGGTGATTGCAGCCATGAAATTAAAAGACGCTTACTCCTTGGAAGAAAAGCTATGACCAACCTAGTAGCATATTAAAAAGCAGAGACATTACTTTGCCAACAAATTCCGTCTAGTCAAAGCTATGGTTTTTCCAGTAGTCATGTATGGATGTGAGAGTTGGACTATAACACTATAAAGAACTGATGCTTTTGAACTGTGGTGTTGGAGAAGACTCTTGAAAGTTCCTTGGACTACAGTCCTTACAAGGAGATCAAACCAGTTAATCCTAAAGGAAATCAGTCCTCAATATGCATTGGAAGGACTGATGCTGAAGCTGAAGCTCCAGTACTTTGGCCACCTGAGGAAAAGAACTGACTCATTGGAAAAGACCCTGATGCTGGGAAAGATTGAAGGTAGGAGGAGAAGGGGGGCACAGAGGATGAGATGGTTGGATGTCATCACCGACTTGATGGATGTGAGTTTGAGGAAGCTCCGGGAGTTGGTGATGGACAGGGAAGCCCAGCATGTTGCATTCCATAGGGTCGCAAAGAACTATCTGAACTATCTGTGTTAGGCACTGCCCTACAGGCAGTAACACATTATTTCATTTTCTCTTCATAACAACCTTATGAAGTAAGTATTGTTATCCTTGTTTTACAGATTAGAAAACCATTTTCATCATCACTAAAAAACTATTTTAATGACTTGAAATATACTTGCCCAAAGTCACCCTGTTCATTTCAGTGTCAATGTGAATCCATGAATGTGTCAATTAATCCTTGTCAACATTTTAACATTTTAATGCTATATTTATGAAATATGTGCTATAACACACTGTAACACTTTCAAAATGTCTCTCAGTCAGAGCTATGTAACTATTTTATACCAGTGTCAATTTCCTGGTTCTGATATTGTACTATCGTTAATATGATGTAACATATTGGGTAAAGTAGATGAAGGGTACAAGAGCCCACTCTGTTTTATCATTGAAACTTCCTGTGAATCTATAATTATCTTTTTTAAAAGTTACATCTGTAAAATATAACGAGGGAGGAAGGGGAAGCAAGAGAAGGAAATTTTAGAATATGAAACTAAACATAAGAGATTGAAAATTAACTTACCACTGCTTCTCTAACAGATTTGTGAAAAATAAAAATACCCAATCTTCTAAATTCTGTGTGTGTGTGTGTGTGTGTGTACATGTGTGCACACGCCTTAGCGTGCTCAGTCATGGGTGACTCTTTGCAACCCCATGGACTGTAGTCCACCATACCCCTCTGTCCATGGGATTCCCCAGGCAAGAACACTGGAGTGGGTTGCCATTTCCTTCTCCAGGGAAATCTTCCGACCCGGAATCGAACCTGCGTCTTCTGCATTGGCAGGAGGATTCTTTACCAACGCACCACTTGAGAAAGCCCTATTCTCACTATTAAGCCCTAATCTTTGAGATCGTTTTCACAACCCCATCCTGCAGCAATACCAGGGTGGGAAAACCAGGACACAGGAACTAAGGTGAGCCCTGGAACAGGATCACAGTGCACTCGCACATACCACCTCTCACCTGCGGAAGGACTCAAGGACACCTGGGTGGCGCGTCAACACTTCCGGCGGCGTCTTGGGGAGCACGCGCAAGCACTTCCGGATAGCACGTGGCCGCCGGCCCCGCCTCTTCTTGCTCCTTGGCTGCCATATCGTGGGACGCTCAGCTGGGCCCGGGGTAGTGGTGCGCAATGGCGTCTCGGTATGATCGGGCGATCACTGTCTTCTCTCCAGACGGACACCTATTTCAAGTGGAATATGCCCAGGAAGCGGTAAAGAAAGGCTCCACCGCGGTGAGCGAGCAACTTTTCTTGGCCATCGACTCCTGCCTAGTGTCAGGCCTTTATTACTCCACCGTCCCAGCCCATCGCTGGATGTGGAGGGACCGGAAGTGTCACCTATATGTGAAAATTGCCTCCTTTTTCTACCAAGGGAGGTGTTGTTTCTGAAATTCGGGTTGGAAACAGCGGAGTTAAAAGGTGGTAGACTTCTTAGGTTTCCGTTGTTGCAACTGCCATTAACAGTCGCCATAGATACGTACCTGGGGTGAGGGGGCGGGCGCCTCGTGGAGGTGTGTGTTTTGTAGCCTTGACTATAGAAGAGACTTTTTTTTTCAAACTTCAAACTTTTTATTTTGTACTGAGGTATAGCGGATTAACAATGTTGTGGTATTTTCAGGTGGACAGCAAAGGGAGTCAGCCATGCATGTACATGTATCGGTTCTCGCCTAAACCTCCCCCCGCACCTCCCATGGAGGCTGGCACATAACATTGAGTAGAGTTCCATGTGTTATATAATAGGTCCTTGTTGGTTATCCATTTTGCAAATAGCAGTGTGTACAGTGACCTTCCCAAACTCCCTAACTATCCCTTCCCTCTCCCACTGAACATAAATTCGTTCTCTATCTTTCTGTTCTGTAAGTTCATTTGTATCATTTCTTTTTAGATTCCACATATAAGGGATGTCATACCATATTTCTCCTCTGCCTGTCTGTCTTATGGAAGAGAGACCTGTTAAAAATGTTTGCCCAAAAATTTACTCCTGATTATTTAGCGGCCTTATAGAGATTTTTAAGCCCCCAAGAATCTCAACTCTTTTGCCATTTCCCACTTTTGGTTTGATTGTTATAAAGGAGAGTATACCCTCCTTTAAATTGATACATCCACGGTTCTGAAAAACTTTCAAATACTCAGGGTAGCAGTAGTACTCCTGCCAAGGTTTAATTACATTTAATAATCTTAGTGATTTATAAAAATTTATAAGGACAAAAATGGCCTGGTGACCCAAAAATCTGTTACCCCAAATCTTCCAAATCCTAGCCATTGGGTTTAGGAGGATTTGATGTTTTAAAATCTTTCGAATTTCATGAGCATGTTTGTTGTGTATCTTGGAAAAGGAGACACCAGCTATGAGAATACACAGTGCATTTCTAAGTCTAGCAATGTCTATATTTTCTCTGGCTTTCTATACCAACTTACTTATGGAAGGAAATAATTCACTTTTATTATAAATCTATCAAATGTGAAGTGGTAAAAAGATAACACTAGAAGGAATCTTATCATCATTTTTAAAGTATTTTTCTATTTAATTGGGCCCTCTAGTTTTACTTCTGTTTTGTAAGTAATTCTTTTAGAATTGTAAATTTAAGAAAAGCCTGATGTAGCTTAAACCAGAGGGGTACCATTTTGATAAAAACAAGAAGTTATATAATCCCCAGCATGGCGTGAAGCATATGGTTAGAAATAATGCCCCAGTTTTAGAGCCTAAAATAAAGAGAGTAATGGGAGAAGACTGAGGTGTAATAAGAAGCCGCATTGGCTATTTAAAATGTTTTAAGAATGCTATAGAACTGATTGATAGTTCCTTTGTAATGAGTTGTAAAAGGGTAAGGATATAAAAATACCTATAGTGGGCATTTTTAAAGATACATTGCAAGGAGGAGACAGTTTTGTCTCAGGATTCTGAATTATAATTTGCATCTTTGTATGGAGTTATTCATTGTGTTTCCTTTAGGGTGCTATGACCTGTCACATGGGGTAAAGTTTATAATGGCACTTATTTATTAAGATATGTCACAGAAGATTCTGTCTGTAAATGACAATTGATATGATGAGTTTTAAATAATCCAAGGTTGGCCAGTTTTGACCAATGTGATATTATTTAGTAATAAAAAAAAAAAGTTATATGGGCTGCAACTAGAGACCCTGGGTTCTGCTTTCTTTTTGATGATCATCTTACAGAATTAAGTGAGGCAAGAGGCCTGTTTTCTTTTTCCTTAGTTCCCTTTTTATATAAATGAAAAATATGTTTGAATAACATTTTAGAGAGGTAATACCTTTCTTTTTAGGAAAGAAAAAAAAAATGAACCCCTCAGAGTATTCCCATGGAAATGATAAGATTTATTATCATTCTTCATTCTGTCCTTTCCCTGACCCCAAACTGTTATTAGCTCCATATTTCCTACTTTATCAAGCCCCAGATCCACAGTCTGGCCATCAAAGTCTTCCATGATCCACTTTAATTAAGGGTAGAGCTTTGTGGTTTTACCAATATATGTTTCTTCCCTTGTAGGTAGGGAGAACAGAAAACACCTCTGTCACTCTCTGTCTTTAGAATCTCTGCCCATTTCTCTCCTTTGTGGAGCCATCTCTGATCCACTCCAGTCATGGATCTCTTGGTTCTCTGAATTTATCATCTGTACCATTGTATCATCTGTGTATAGTATTTACTATTTGGCTTCATGGGCTTCCCTGGTGGCTCAATTGGTGAAGAATTTTCCTGCAGTGCGGGAGACCTGGTTTCAGTCCCTGAGATGGAAAGAATCCCTGGAGGAGGGCATGGCAACCCACTCCAGTTTTCTTGCCTGGAGAATCCCCATGAACAGATGAGCCTAGTGGGCTACAGTCCATGGGGTCGTAAAGAGTACATTTGGCCTCATATTCTCTTTGATGTCAGACATTCTAATAGTCTTCTCACTTTAACTGGATAGTAAGACCTTGGTAAAAAATCCACCTGTAATGCAGGAGACCCTGGTTTGATTCCTGGGGTCTGCTGGACCCCAGATCTCCAGATCTGCTGGAGAAGGGATAGGCTACGCACTCCAGTATGCTTGGGCTTCCCTTGTGGCTCAGCTGGTAAAGAATGTAATGAGGGAGACCTGGATTCGATCCCTGGGTTGGGAAGACACCCTGGAAAAAAGAAAGGCTACCCACTACAGTATTCTGGCCTGGAGAATTCCATTGTATAGTCCATGGGGTCGAAAAGAGTTGAACACAACTGAGCAACTTTCACTTTCAAGAATCTAACTGGTGTAATGTCTTTTGTACTTTTACTGCAGGATATACAGTGGAGGAGCTGAGAAAGAAGGAAACTGCCATTTTAAGTAATACTCATTTCTGCCACATTTCATGTACATTGTCTTACATTGCATGCTCAGTTACTCAGTCATGTCCAGCTCTTTGCTACCCCATGGACCATAGCCCTCCAGGCTCCTCTGTCCATGGAATTTTTCAAGCAAGACTACTGGAATGGGTTGCCAGTTCCTACTCTAGGGGGTCTTCTTCTTAACCCAAGGATGGAACCTGTGTCTCCCACATCTTTTGTGTTGACAGGAGGATTCTTTACCACTGAGCCACCATTAAGAACAGTGTTTAATCCCCTTTTTAATGTATGTGGAAGCTATGATTCAGAAGCTTTCATAACTTGGTAAGGGTACCCAGCCAGAAACATAGAGTCCGTGTTCTCACTTCAGTTTTCCTGGTTCCAAAGCCTTTGCACTTCGTGTTGCACCATGTGATTTATTTGGTAAATGTTTGTATATTAATTATCTGTCAACATCTCAAATGTGGAAGCTAGATATGTATCATGTAAAGCAATTAACTTCTCTGAGCTTCAGTTTTTTAAATAGATAGGCATCAAAATAGTGCCTGCTTCATAGAGCTGATGGGAGAATTGAATTTGAGGCAATCATATGTGTTCACCATTTTGCAGTGTCTGGTTCACAGCAAGTACTTAGTAAATGGTAGCTATTATTCTTTACTATCCCTTTGTTTTCTCTTTTTCCTTGAATTTTGTCTGTAGTTCTTTGTGCACTTCCATTTACTATTTAAAGACATTTTTGTCTGACACTTACACCTGCCAAATGTGGTGCAAGGTCCTCTGGTTTCACAGTGGACAAAAGAGTCTCAGTCTTTGGCCTCAGAGAGCTTGCTAGCAGGGATGTTGGATGACTGTGAGTATATAGTCCTAACAAGGCCTGTCTGAGTATTATAGTGGGAGATTATGAGGCTTTGTGGGAACTCTAGGTATTAGGTCCTAAGTCCATGGTCCCCATGAGGAAGTATGTGATATTTATGTAGACACCTGAAAGATGAAGTTAGCCAGATGAAAAAGTTGGAAGGGGAAAGAGAGGAGTATAATAGACAAAAAGAACTAACATGTGAGAAGACCAGGTAGGAAAATACAACTATGGTTCACCAACTGAAAGGCATTCAGGATTGCTGAAGCAATGGGAAAATGGGAAGAGGTGAAGCCAGAAACAGGAGCCAGGCTGTGGAATGCTTTTAAGGGAATAAGAAGTTGAAGGGTTTTGATGTGGTTATTATTGTTCTGCCTTTCTAATAACAGGCTCCATTTGTCCCACCAAAGAGGTACTCACATGACCCAAGAAATGTCATTCATAGTTTCCGTCCTCCTGCAACAACCATGGGACAGAAATCTAGCCAGTATAAGTCCATAGAGCAGGACTTTTCTAGCTAGAGATACTGGTAGCTTTTTTCCTCTGGGAGAACTATTGGGATATGAGTCCAGGGTTCCCATTTTTTTTCTTGTACAGATAAAGCAAGTCTGCATTAAGAGCGCAGAAAGCTGATAATACAGAAGTAAATATTACAGTCCCTAGATCCTTTTGTCCCAAGTCTACTTCTGTGTTATCTTGGTTTGCCTAGTGAGAAATGTTCCCCACTAATACAGGTTTTAAGTGGGGGAGTGCAGCATTCCGATTTTCTTTTTTCTTCATATTTTTATTTTTCAAAGATTTCTCAGACTGCATCGTGGTCAGTGGATTAGATGAAATCAAGGAAGCAGGGAAACCGCATAGGAGTCTCTGGAAGTAAGCCAGATGAAAGATGATAGGAGTTGTTACTAGGGTTGGGGCCAAAATGGACATATGGCAGATTCTGGAGAAAATTCCGTGGTATTGTTGATATGTTGGATGATTATTTGGATGGGTTTGGGGGTTGGGGGAAGAGAAAAGGTATTGAAGAGGGAGGAGTCAGAGAAGGTACCTCTGTTTCTGGATTTAATCTCTTGGTATATGGCACTGCCATTGTGTTTTTTTTTAAGGTAATCTGAAGCACTAATTGACAAGCTTATAGGATCTGTAGTCAGCGGCCTCCAAAATGGCCTTTAATGATCTACATCTTCTGGTGTTCGTTGCCTCAAGTAACTCTCTCCCTGTATGTGAGCTGAACCTAGTGAGTGGCTTCTGAGGAATGGAATGGGAAAGTGATGGAACGTCACTTCACATGTTGGGTTTCAGATGGTGACTTACTTCATCCTCCTGCTTGCTTACCCTGGTGGAGCCCAGTTGGCATGTTGTGATTTGTCATATGGAGGGTTCTGTATAGCAAGGAACTGAGGGAATCATTTCTGTTAAAAACCTGGTATGGAACAAAACCCAGTGTGGAACTGAGGTCCTTAGTCCAGCAGTCCACAAGGAACTGAATCGTTGACAACCTTGTGAGTGAGCTTGTAAAGATTCTCCCCCAGGAGCCAGGAGATGAGTGCAGCCCTGGGTGACAGCTTGGTTGCAGCCTTGTGAGAGACTGAACTTAGCTAAACTGTCCAGATTTCTTACCTAGAGCTGAATATACATGTTTGGAAATCAAGAGACTGATCTAGGCTGGAGATACTAATTTTAAAGTGTATCCTTTCTCTCCCCAGCTTAAAACCTATGTTAAAGGTCAAGTAAATGAGTATTCTTGAGTACCCTTCTTCACTCAAGAAAATAATATATAGACTACAGACCACGTAGAGGGTAGACAAAAGCCTTAAGGGCTTTTAAGTGACCTTAGTGACCTATGTGTAGTGTACCTTGGCTAACATTGGGAGGAGTGGGGTAGAAAGCAGGTTGCTGTAAACTGAGTTGATGACAGTATTTGGCCTTGAAAAGGTTAAGAGAGAGAGGCAAAATTGAAATAAAGTGGTCTTTAATATTCTGTTTAAACTAAGAGAGGCTTAGCCATGTGTTCAAATGTTGGTGAAAGTTGCTCAGTCATGTCCGACTCTTTGCAACCCCATGGACTATACAGTCCATGGAATTCTCCAGGCCAGAATACTAGAGTGGGTAGCCTTTCCCTTCTCCAGGGGCTCTTCCCAAACCAGGGGTGGAACCCAGGTCTCCCGCATTGCAGGCGGATTCTTTACCAGCTGAGCCACAAGGGAAGCCACAGGGGACTTCCCTGGTGGTTGAGCCTGTAAAGTGTCTGCCTACAATGCGGGAGACCTGGGTTCAGTCCCTGGGTTGGGAATAGCTTCTGGAGAAGGAAATAGCAACCCACTCCAGTATTCTTGCCTGGAAAATCCCATGGACGGAGGAGCCTGGTAGGGAGTCCATGGGGTCGCAAAGAGTCAGATACGACTGAGTGACTTCACTCACTTCAAATGTTGGTGAGAAAAACTCTGGAGAGAAAGCTGAGGTTTATTTGTTTTTAGGTTTGTTTGATGTATTTTAAACTTTTACTTTATTTTCTTTTAAACTCTTACATTTACAAAGATATAGAGGGAATAGTATAATGAACTTCTGTATACCCATTATGCAGCACCAGTAATTATCAACATTTTACCAGTCTGTTTAATCTTTCTGACTTTTTCCTGTCTCCAGTGGAGTAATTTTAAGTGAAATTTCTATTGAGATCATTGTAGATTCACATGCAGTTGGAATAAATAAAACATAGGGGTCCCTAGTATACTTTCTGCATTTTCTGCCAATAATAACATTTTGTAAAAAGGTACAGTGTCACAACCAGGATATCGATGTTGATATTTTATTCAGAATTCTCCAATTTGACTTGGACTCATTTACCTATGTACTTTCCTGCATCCACAGTCAAGATACTAAGCAATTCCAGGTTCACAATTCCATATGTTGCTCTTATTTAACTATTTACCTTCCCTACCAAACTGACCTATCCATAGCTCTAATCCCTGGCAGCATTCACCTATCCTTCATGTGTAAAATTTTGTAACTTCAAATTGTTATTTAAATGACGACATACAGTATGAAACTTTTTGGGATTTGCTTTCTTCACTTGAGTTTCATCCAAGTTGTTGCATATATCAGTGTTTTATTGCAAGTAGTGTTACATGATATGGATGTACCATAGTGTTTAATTAACTATTCATGTATTGGAGAACATTTGAGTTGTTTCCAGTTTGGAGTTTTTATGAATAAAGGTACATTCATAGCACACTTCTGTGTGAACATGCTTTTATTTCTCTGATAAAATCTCCGAAGTGCACAATTACTAGATTGCATGTTAATTGCCTGTTTTATAAAAAGCTGCCAAATTGTCTGCATATGGTCCCTAATCCTTATCCCTCCTAACTGTGAGATATATGGAAGAGCTTTCAGGATTTTATCTACTTGACATTCTATACTGCTTCTACTACCACCAGTACTGGTACTGCCCATTCTATAAGAAATGCATACGTATTCCAGCGTCTTGTTTCATTTGGGTAAATGTTGTTCTGTAAGGAGTCTGGTGGGCTACAGTCCATGGGGTCGCAAAGAGTCGGACACGACTGAGTGAGTTTTCACTTTCACTCACCCTTAGGTGTATAAGATTAGGACAGTTGTGTGGTTTCAGCACTGGTGGTGTATTCTAGTTTATACCTGTTTGTCTTTGCTTTTGAGTTTGGGAAGTGGACTTCCTGTAAGCCTATACTTGTATGTCTTTAGTTTTCTTAAAAGTCTCTTTTTCTCTTTTATACTGAAGGTTTAAGGAAAACCCTTTTCCTGTAAGTCATTTGTTAGAGTAATTTGATTTTAGGTGTAAAAATGGCCAGCTCATTCTTTCTTATAATGACTCAACAGGTTGGAATTCGAGGTACTAATATAGTTGTGCTTGGGGTCGAAAAAAAATCCGTTGCCAAGCTTCAAGATGAAAGAACTGTGAGGAAGATTTGTGCCCTTGATGACCACGTCTGCATGGCTTTTGCAGGTACTTGTGGGCCTATAGTAATGATGCAGAGTATGTTGGTATTTTAGGTAACACAGCTGGCCCGACTGTAGCTGTTACATAATATTCATCATAAATAGACTATACGCCATTTCTCATTAAACATAAATAGTATGTCTTATATTTTGGGGGGAAATCACAACTCTATAAATGAAGATTTCTGATAATGAGTTTTCTACATATGATACTTTTATTTTTCTATAGTTTTGGATCATATCAGTATTTACAATGTAAAGAAATACTGTACTTCAATATCTCCTTCCTTATCTTATTTTTAAATGGAGTAAAGCTTTTAGCCTATAGGGTAGGCTAAGTCAATCTATCACCATTTCTTTCTCTCAGATAACCTTTGCAAAAAGAAAAGAATCAATTTCTTTTCTTTAACTGAGTGTCTGATTGTAATTCATACCCTACTCCTGAGTGTTAGAGTGGTTCTCAACAGTGGCATGTTCTGACAGCTTCTTCTTTGTTGGTTACTGTTAACTATCTTCAGGAACTGACCATTCTTTCAGGTTTGTAGAAACACATTTTGAAATGGCATGTAAAGAAACAAGAGTTGGTGACTGCAGAAGACTGATTGGTTATGTGAGAAACGGCTATTTCAGAGATTTTGTGAATGCGTTTTTTGAGCAATATGATATTAAGAGAGTGGAGAAAGAAAGTAAATGGTGATGAAAAGGTAAAATGCCAAAAAGTCATCAGTAGAAATGTTTGTAATCATTTGAATCCCTTTAAGTTTTTGGTCATTTTGATAGAAACATCTTCTGTCTCCTCTTAGAAGTGTTAAGAATTCATCACAGGATGTTTTGGTATGATAAAAGTAAGATGACGTTTTTTCTTTCCTTCTTTCTTGTCCTTGGCTGTACACCTTTTGGCATCCTAGTTCCCTGAAAGGAATCGAATCCAGGCCCTCAGCAATGGACATGCCAGAGTCCTCACCATTCGACTGCCAGCAAATGCCCTTCTTTTTCTGTTTTAATGTTCTTGATTTTCAAACCCCTAATCTTAGACAAAAAGCTGACAAGTGGCATGTAACGGTTATATTGAATGCAGATTGAGTTCGTGTTTGATAATGAAGTTTCGTCGTCTTCCTAAGAAGAAATCCAGCTTACTTTATGGTTTAGGTAATAAGTAGCTTGGTTCTGGAATCAGAATAGACGGTCAGCTTTTGAACAAATCTGCCACTGATACTGTCTCAAAAAAGCTTTTGAAATTTGACTACAGAGTTGTTGTTTTTCTTTAATTTAATAAAATCTAATAATCAAACCAGCTACTGTAAATTAAACCATCTTGATCTTTGGGAAGTAGGTTACTTAACATTCATGTTTAAATATTAATTAAAACAATTTTCTTTAAAAAGTAAATAAGAATGGATCAAATGAAGGAAACAAAGCAACTTAGGATGAGTGATACTGTATTTCATAAATTCTTTATTATGGACATATATTGGAAAAAACAAAGAATGTTACAGGAAAAATATAATGGTGGCCAAAACACTTTTCTTTGACTGTTGTTATAGGGCTGACTGCTGATGCGAGAGTCGTCATAAACAGAGCACGTGTGGAGTGCCAGAGTCATAAGCTTACAGTTGAGGACCCAGTCACTGTCGAATATATAACTCGCTTCATAGCAACCTTAAAGCAGGTAAGCCGGGTATGCCAACAGATTTCTCCACATGTTCTTTTTTCCACCATGATGGGTCCTATCATGGGAACACTAGTCACTCCAACCATTCAATCTGTTAAAATGTACTGAATTCCTTATTATTTCTCACTTCACACTCAGATTCTTATACCAGTGGAGTGGATTGATTTGATCACTAGAAATCTCAATCAGTATCAATTCTGAGAATTAAATATTAAAAAAAAAAGAGTGACCTTTTAAGGAGATTTCTGTAGTTCAGAGATGTAGCAGCAAGACACCACTTTTAAAGTTTTCCATGGAAACACCTGATTCTTTCATCTACAAAGCTAAACACAACTGATCAGGTTTAGATATTATGTCTTCTGAATCCATATGTAGATACATGATTTGACCTTTAGTATAATCATGATGCATACAAATTTTGCTTCATTTATTATCATTTTCTTTGTTATTTATCCACAGCAACATAGTTCTTAACACTCACCACCCTAACTATGTAGTACTGTTTTTAATTGCTGTCTCCTAATGATTTAGGTCGCTCCAGGTTTTTTCCTTTTCTCCTTCCCTCCCCTACCCCCTCTTTCTGCCTCTCTTGCTGCCTCTCTCTTTCAATCTGCTACTTTAATAACATTATTCTATCTTGGTCACAGTTTTTTCTTTTTTGAATTATATTGTTAAATTAACTTTCAGTCTGGGATTCCTAGATTAAAGGTTGTAATTAGTTTTAAGACTCTTGTTATATGTAGCTAAATTGCTTTCTAAAAAGATTGAACAAATTTTTATCGTACAACTAGCAGTACATAAATATATCCCTAAAGAGTCATCAGCATTGGGTTTTTCATTTTTCTTTTATTTTGCAAATAAGTATAGCATAGTATTGTAATAGTTGTTTTAATTTGTATTTTATAATTAGTAGTGAGGTCAATTTTTCCCCTACATGTTTGTTTGCTATTTTCAATTCTCCTAGTGTAAACTATCTTTTCTTTTGACAGGCACTGTAGCAGTTAAGAATTTGCTCCCAGGAGCCAGAAATTTGGGGTTTAAGTCCTGGCTTTGCTACTTCTAGTTAATGCCCTGGGCAAACCATTTAGCCTGTTTTGCCTCAATTTCCTTATTTATAAAATTAACATTACAATAATGTTTGTTGAATTGCAATATATAGTACACTTAAAGAATTTAGAATACTTCCTGAGATGAATTTAGTGTTTGTTTTTACATAGAGATTTTTTATAGGTTCTATATATTCTAGATATTAAATTTTTAAATTTCATACTTATAAGAAATGGCCCTATTTTGTTTTTTTAGAATTTAATTCATTTCAGCAAAGTTCAGCATTTTATATTTTATTTATTTATTTATATTTTTCTTTCTTCATTGCTTTGATTTTCCCAAGTTAAAAGGTACTCACCAAAAGCCACGAAGATTGTGTACAGAAGGTACAGAAGATTGTGTATACAAGGTTCCCAGTTAAGGTTTTTAGGTTTTATTTTGGAAATATAAAAGCTATTATTCATGGAACATTTTTAGAAACATGCATTGTGAATCTGTAACAGTGGCGTTGCTACCGAGCAGAAGCCTGAGGCTCTGGAACAAAAGTTATCCTCATGTACACCATTTGTTCTTTTAAATGATTATTTTTTTTAATGATTTTAACCTTGTGCATGTATTTCTTCTTCATGCTGCTTCGATCCCTGGTGGAGGAACTAAGATCTCACATGCCTCTCGGCATGGCCAAAACAAAACAAAAAAGTGGTTGCTTAAGCAAGCAAAGTAAAAGTTTGTTTCCTTTAAGGTGTATTTACAAAACATCTACATTTACAAAACATCTACTTCATACCTACGTGTGAACTAGGAACATTAGGGAATACAGAGAAAAAAAGACAAACCCTATTCTTTCAAGAGTTTCTGTTGTAACTCACTATTTGCGTTCAAAATTTAAAGTGGCTTTGGAAATTTCCTGGCAATCCAGTGATTAGGACTCCGGCTTCCACTGCTGGGGGTCGGGGCATTTTGAACTAAGATCCCACAAGTTGTATGGCATGGCTGAAGAAAAATCAAACAAAAAAACCCCAAATTTAAAGTGGCTTGTAAATATATATATAATAACATTAAAATAAAAAAAAATTATGTAGACAAGTCCAAGAAGAAAGCTAGTCTAAAGCATCTCAGGCCAGAATTCATACAGTTGCCTACAAATGTGGTCCTTAGTTTTCTACCATAGCTGCTGCTCTGCACAACTTCTCTGGATGCCAGTCTCAGAATTTGCGTGAATTCCACTCCCTAGGACATAAATGCAGAAAGTTCCTCGCACCAAAGTTAAAAGATAAAACTGGTTTCCAGTGCCCCATTGTCAGTGAGGAAAAACATGCTTTTTTCTTCAAGAGAAACAAAAGTTTCTTGTTTTGAGACTGAAAGAAATGTCCTAGTTGGATTTTTATGTAGAGATAAGAGCATAGTGAACAGAATATACTTGATAATAATAGTATCAAATAAGAATACTTGATAATAACAACAGTGTCCCTCACAGTGAAACCAAGGCCGTGCTTCGCACAGCTCACTGAAATCAACTTTGTTGAGAACCAGAACGATATGACATGCACAGTTCTGTGCAATAGGAAAATGGTTACAGTTTATTTATGCTACCAAACTTACATACGGCAACAGGAAAACAAATTTGAGACCATACATGAGGAACTTAATGATTTCATTTTACAAGACTGTCAATATTTACTTTTTAAAATTTTCATCATGGGTTGAGGTCACTACTGAAGAAGTTCAGCAAGAAGATCTTGAAGTTATACAAAACAAATTAGTAAAGATCATTTTATCAGGAATACTTTATTTACTATTAGAGATTGTTATTTGATAAGTAATAGTGTTGTCCTTTCTTTGGCCTCATACAGAGAGTAGCCATGAAAATATTTTATTTTTCAGAAATATACTCAGAGCAATGGACGAAGGCCTTTCGGTATATCTGCCTTGATTGTAGGTTTTGATGATGATGGTGTCCCAAGATTATATCAGACTGATCCCTCTGGTACTTACCACGCTTGGAAGGTGAGTCAGGAATTTGTTCGTGTCTTTTAGAATTTGAGGGTTATACTTGTTGGATAGCATCACTGGCTTACTGGACATGAGTTTGCGCAAACTCTGGGAGATAGTGAAGGACAGGGAGGCCTTGCGTGCTGCAGTCCAGGTCGCAAGAGTTGGACACAACTTAGCGACTGAACAACAACTGCTGAGAAGCATCTTTATTTCAAAGTCAGTTAGGAAAATAATGGAGATTGCTTAATTGTTGGCAAGTTTATTTATATCTGGGTCTGAAACTGCTTTGCTGTGGTGTTGTAAGGCCAGGTGGTGGAGGTGGGAGGGTGTAAACAGCACGAGCATATGCACGCACACATGTACACCGTGTCATCATCATTTTACCGATTTTATGTATTACACTTATACGATTTTGGTTGAAGGATGCATTATGCAACTTAAAAAAATCATCTATAACAAAAAATCTTGGAGACTTTTTTATTTTAGGTGTTGGAAGTAATACTCAGGAGTTAAGTGACTTTTTTTTTTTTTTAAGTTTTCACCACTAGTTAACAGCAAGACTGGAATTAGAACTCAGGGTCTCCTGCTTCTTAATGCAGGGTTCTGTCCTCTACTTCATGCTACTTCCCTCAAGCCAAATGATCCTCTCTCTATAGTATATAAATTCTGATATCCAGCCTTTCAATGTGGAGTAAAATCTTGTGGTTTTATTTTTCTTTAGGGGTGTGCCCTCTGGCACTTTGTTAAACATAAGGTCAAGTTTCTCTGTCTTGTTTCTTTTTTGCTTTGTTGTTTTTTACGCTGACCTAGTTTACCACGCAGCCTGGTAAGATGGTGCTGTGGACTGCTGAGAACACGGCTGTGTCATCACCACCTAATGACAACACTTTGCAGTGCTAGGTTGTAGTCTTACAAGGTGCAGTTAGAGGACATGTGAAATAGATAGTAGAGATTTTCGCACATTAGAGCAACATGATCTGATTTATATTTTAAAAGTATCTCTCATTGAGAATAGATTGTAGGGCAGAAGCAGGCAAACAAGTTGCATGCATGTTCAGCCACTTCAATCCTGTCCTACTCTTTGAGACCCCATGGACTGTAGACCACCAGGCTCCTCTGTCCATTGGATTCTCCAGGCAAGAATACTGGAGTGGGTTGTTGCCATGCCCTCCTCCAGGGGAATCTTTCCAACCCGGGGATCGAATTCGTGTCTGAGTCTCCTACATTGCAGGTGGATTCTTTACCCACTGAGCCACAGGTTAGGGGACTCAATAATACATGAAATCAGATTTAGATCAGGGGCATTAGCCACTGAAAAGTGGGGATAGATCCAGCCTAGTCTGTAAAGGAGGAGAACCCAGAGAATAATATTCTGGATCCGGAGTGAAAACAGGTTCCAATAAGAGTTGATCAGCCAAGTCAGCACCACTGATAAATCAAGTAAGAAAAGGACTGTGCTATGATTGAATTGGGCAACATGCAAGTCATTGGTGACCTTGGCGAGAACAGCCTGGATAGAGCGACGGTGATATGCTTATAAGGCCAAGTTTTTTGCTGTGTTGGTAATACTTTAAACAGGAACAAAGTTAGTATATTGTGTACTTCAAAACAGTGTTTCTCAAAGTGTATTTCTTTGGATGTTAATATATCTAAGTTAAGCTGTTTAAGGCTAATTAATTTGGGGAGATGTTTTTCCAAAGAAATTTAATAAATTTTCTTAAGTTCTGCATGTTCTAAAAGACATTGTATATATTCTACAAGCAGTTTAAGTAGTCCCCAAGATTACTTTAATTTGGAACCCTTTTATCATAGATCCTCTCTCCACACTGGTATTCTTTGGAAAATACCATTTGACCATCAGTAAAGGCCATTTATTTATTTTAGTAAAGGCCATTTAACCATCATTTTTACTAAGTGCTTTGGGGATCAGCATTTGTTGAAGGAAAGGGAACAAGATGAGGCTGAGGGAAAAGTGGGCCTGCAGTGCAATTTCAGTAACGGCCTCCTTAGTCCTGTGGGAAGCCCTGGGTCAGGGGTAGCTCTTTGGAGTTGTTTCAAGTTGGGGTGGGGGTGCTGGGCATTAATAGCTGTTCATCAGTCAGTCATTGGATTTGGGCCAACTCTGGAGAGTACAAGACCTTAGACAAGATAGCTCTTGTTAACAAAGGCACCTCTCAAAGAAAGTTAAGAGTAGGGGCCATGTGCCCTTGGCACTTCCAGCAGCTGGAGGAATAAGGCTTTCATTTCTGAAGGGGAGTGGGGCAGCACATCCCAGGATCCACTCAGAGGTGTATTTGTGAATTACTGTTCTCGGCTCCTAACCACAGGGACGTGATGATCCTTAACACATAAGGATTTATCTTTCCTGCATAATGAGAAGGTTGAAGTAGGCAGTTACTGGTATTTGTCTCTTTTATTATCTTAGTCTTTTCTCATGCTCCCAGGTAGTTACTAGACCTCCAGCCAACATGTCTGCATTATAGGCAGCAGAGATTCCTAGAAGGTTCATCCAGTTACTTCCACTTGTATATTCCTTTTGGTAACAGAGGGTAGGACATGACATTTTTCAGCAGGCACATTGCCTGGAGTTCTGTCACAGAGGAAGAATGAATACTGGGGTTGGCAGCTAATATTCTTCACCACAGAAAATCATTAATCTGGACAGGCAGGCAGGAAAAACATTGCAGAACCATCAAAAGTCTGTTGAAATGAGCTTGAGTGGGTAATGGGGCTGGAGGGAGGGTGGGGTTAAAGTGTGGTAAGAAGCAGCTGGACTTTAGGAAGCCAGTCAAATAGATTCGGGGTTAAAGAATTTTGACATCAGCAATTGGAAGCAGTGGACAGGAAAGTCACCAGGCATTTTACAAGGTGACTTTTAAAGGCTCAGTGAGATTTTTGGATAAACCACTACTTTATGTACTTCCTCACCAGGCAGCAGCCAGTTAGTTGACCAAAACAAACTTGAAGCTAATAAGCTCCAAAGTCACACCAGGCCGAAGGGTTTACCTCTGATCTTAATGAAATTTCAAGGCCACAAACTCTGATTTAAAATTTCATAGCTATTTATTTTAATCTTCTGAAATATAAAGGTATGGTAGAAGTTCTGTGAAGTTCAGTTCAGATGTTCAGTTGTGTCTGACTCTTTGCGACCGCATGGACTGCAGCACACCAGGCCTCCTTGTCCATCACCAACTCCCGGAATTTACTCAAACTCATGTCCATTGAGTCAGTGATGCCATCCAACCATCTCACCCTCTGTCGTTCCGTTCTCCTCCCACTTTCAATCTTTCCCAGCATCAGAGTCAGTTCTTCGCATTTGGTGGCCAAAGTATTGGAGTTTTAGCTTCAGGATAAGTTCTTCCAATGAATATTCAGGACTGATTTCCTGCAGAACTATATGTTCATGTAGTACAAAAGGTATGTTTTCATACTCACTTCCTAAAAATCTCCTTTTGCAGTCTCTTTCCAGTAACCATAGTACATACCAGTTAGAACTGGGACATTCCCTGTTTATAGCCAGAATCCTTCAGTGAAAGGATGGGCCTTTCTACTGGTTCTTTTCCCTCTCTGGAGCCATCACAGCAAAAGGGCATGTGGCAGTGTGGTGTTTAGAGCTCAAAGCTCGGACTGATGATTTGATCTACTTGGTTTCAAAGCTCATATCTTCTGCTTACCCCCTATATGATCTTGGGCAAGATTACCTAAGCCAGCGGTTCACAAATAGCGGTGATTTTGTCCCTGCATAGGGACATTTGGCAATATCTCAAGGCCCATTTGGTTGTCATCGCTGAGGTAGGGGATATAACTGGCATCTAGTGAATAGAAAGCTGAGCGCTGAAGAATGGATTCTTCTGCACTGTGGTGTTGGAGAAGATGCTTGAGACTCCCTTGGACTACAAGGAGATCAAACCAGTCAATCCTCAAGGAAATCAGTCCTGAACATTCATTGGAAGGACTGATGCTGGAGCTGAAGCTTTAATACTTTGGCCACCTGATGCAAAGAATTGATACTGGAAAAGACCCCGATGCTGGGAAAGATTGAAGGAATGAGGATGACAGATGGATGACAGAGGATGAGATAGTTGGATGGCAGAGGATGAGATAGTTGAATGGCATCACCAACTCAACGAACATGAGTTTGAGCAAGCTCTAGGAGTTGGTGATGGACAGGGAAGCCCAGCATGCTGAAGTCCATGGGGTTGCAAAGAGTTGGACACGACTGAGCGACTGAACTGAACTAGTGGATAGAGGCTGCTAAACATCCTGCAATGCACAGAATAGCCCCCCACCACAGCAAAGTTATGCAGTCCAAACTGTCGGCTCTTTTAACCTTTTCAACCCTTCATTTCTTCCTCCATGAATTAGAGTTAGTAATGGTACCTTTTTGATTGTTTTTGTGATGGTTAAGATGAGATAATCCATTTAAAATGCTTAACATAGTGCCTGGCACATTAAGTGTTCTGTTAATAAAAATTACTGTTGTTATCATTATCATCACTAGTACTCATCTGGATATTTACACTGAATGGAAAGAACAGGCTATATATTACCTGTAGCCATGCAGCCAGGGAGATGCTTTTGCCTCTTCCTTTCATCTGCTGAAAATTTCTGAAGAACGAAGAAAAATGGGGAATGGAACAGAAGCAGCCCTTCTTGCTTATAGTCAGAGATAAAATGATGCACAGTCCTGTTCAAAAAATACCTTTCTTCTTCACACTGATGTCTTTTTATTTTTCTTTTTGCATCATATTGCAGTTATATCTCCTTTCCTCTTTACATCTTTTCAAGTTTCAACTCTTTTAATCTTTTTTGACTACTAAGGACTTGGGAACCATTAAGGAAATAGAAAGCACTGGCCAGGACAAGGCATTAGTGTATTTGAAAATAAGTCATGTCATCATCTCAGATTATTCATAGAGTAAATCAAATGAGCTGTTTAAATGTTTGCTAAACCTTCAAACTACAATTTTCATTAAGTAATTATGCTAAGTAATAGTGGAATAAACTCTAAACCCCTAAACTTCACTTAGTAACCATAAGTTCATTCATATTACAGTGGGATTAATAATTATCTTCTATCTTTCAAGGCAAATGCAATAGGTCGAAGTGCCAAAACTGTCCGAGAATTTCTGGAAAAGAATTACACAGAAGATGCCATAGCACATGACAATGAAGCTATCAAATTAGCAATAAGAGCTTTGTTGGAAGTAAGTGATCTAATAAAGCATATACAGAAAATCATGGTTTTTTTCCTCTCAGTTGCTTATTAAAACACAGACTTTGGAGAAGGAAATGGCAATCCACTCCAGTATTCTTGCCTGGGGAAGTCCATGGACACAGAAACCTGGCCGGCTGTAGTCCATGGGGTTCCATGACTGAGCATGTGTGCACAAGGGTGGAGGGAGATGGGTTGGTAGCAATAAAGTGGTAGAACTAAAAATAAATAAATAAAACACAGACTCCTGAAGTAATTCTAAAATTGTACTTGTTTTCCATTAGGTTGTCCAGTCTGGTGGAAAAAACATTGAACTTGCTATAATAAGAAGAAACCAACCTTTGAAGGTTAAGTCATTAACCAAAGAGGAAAAATACCTGTAGTATAAGGCATTTTGACCAAAAACTTTAATAAGTTGCTGACACCTGTGAATCTTTATTACAAGCCTGAAAGCTCCATTCGCACCCATTGACACTGTGATGGCTTCTGTTTTGTTTCTGTAGGCTGACAGTCACTAATCTGTACATGCTTACTATGCAAGCAGTTAGCTCTCCCTAGCCCTCTGCGAAGTCCTAGGGGTGCTGAGATCTATGTATAGGCCTACCCCACTTAGTACATGTTCTTATAAGTAGGAATCCCTAGTGAGTCCGTCCCATATAGGGTCAGCGTACTGTATTCCCTGTGGAGATTCATTCCTGGCACCACATAGTGAACAGTCCTTCTTGCTGTCTTTTTAGATCTGAAACCAAGGTTAGCTTCCAGTGTCATTCAGCTGCCATTTATATAATTGTTGGCCCTCTAGGCTTCTAACATAATGTTATCCTTCATTATGTTAAAAAACCAGCCTTTCTTGATTGCCTACTGGTTTTTATCTGATTTCTCTACTTTTCACTTCTGAGTGCGTTAAGCTTCTGTAAGACTTACATTTTAATATCTAATTGTGATCACCTTTTCATATTTCTTTATGTCAAGTCTAGCGTTATTAGTTGTACACCTTAGTCAGCCATTGTATGTTAAAACGGCTGGACCACAAAGTAAATTGTGCAGGACACTGCAATAAATTGTTCCAAACATTGTGATAGAGGACTCATTGGTAAGAGTATCTGAAATGTGACTGACTTCATTAGGTAGAGCTTCACACTGTGTGCCAACTGGGTCTTTAGCTGAGAGTGTACAAAAGCACTTGCATGGGCAACTATATGAAAAATGTGCCCTGAAGCAGTATTTTACTACCCATTCTTTTGTGTTAAGGAAACCATTTCAAGGGGAAATAGTGTTAAAATCAGTGCTGTGTGGAGCAGTGGTTTGGTTTTTGGAGTTTTGTTGTTTTGACAACAGTGGGTTAGGGATGCAAGGACAGGGCAGGAACAAGTTTCAGTGAGTAAGGGAAGTGGGGACACGGGGGCTGGGGTGCCTCTGTAGGGCCCCACATAAACAGCCAGGGTGCCGAGCAGAGTGTGGAGATGTGTGGGGCAGAGTATGGAGATGTGTCGCCTCTGGCTTCCAGGACTCAGGGACAGCTGTGCCAATGCCACAGCGACACAGAACCACTGAGTCAGAGTCAGCTCTCCAGCCCCATGACATCCGTGTGTACACAGCTGGATAAGCGCACACACACAGATACACGTGTCTTTATTTTAGAAGAGTGGTAGGATGGTATGCATCCTGGCAACAGAGTTACACTGTCCCTCCACATGACATTTCCCAGTAGGCTGGGTAGTGAGTAGAGCCTGTGCTTCAGAATTAGGTAGATCTGGGTTTAATTTCCAGCAGATGCATTTGTTTAACAGTATGATCTTGAGCAAGTTGCTCCCATCTTTGATTTTACAACTGATTTAAGTAAAATCAAAACTCTTCTGTTCTCTGCTTAGTCTGGCAGTTCTAAACAAAACACCATGAAAATCATCATTTTCCTACCTCTTTGGCTAGTTCTGGAGCTGATAAAATAAACAAAACCTAATGAGAATCACAGTGGGATGAGGTTGGGAGTTCAGTAATCAGTTATTTTTTCATGAATAGAATAAGCTTTGAATTCAAATGTGTTCAGAATTATATCCATATATAGGATATGGAATCCAATATTGCATTTCCTGGCTTTTTATTTTAGCACAATGATAGTGGAAATGTTGTAGAGTTCTGGTTTTGCCCATAATTGTTACAATTAAGCTACTTCTGAAATATTTCATCATGTACTTGAAGCTATAAGATAAAAAGTTATAAAAAATAAAATTATAAAATATAATTGGGTTCATCAACATAAATATTTAGAAATTGTTGCTCTAATTTAAATTTGCTTTTTAAAATTTTTTCTCTTTTCAGATGTTTAGTGCCAAAGAAATTGAATTACAAGTAAATGAAATAGAAAAGGAAAAAGAAGAAGCAGAGAAGAAAAAATCAAAGAAGACCACCTAATTCTTAGGAGAAACACTGGGATCTTTTAATATTTCCTTGTACTCAGAATTGCTTAGTGAAATTTTAAAGGAAATAAGTCAATATGCAACATTATATTTAGTAGTTACATGTGTTGAGAATGTCATACTTGTGGCATTTATCTATGACAAACATACATGATTATGAAGATTTTTTTTAAGAGTTCAGTAATTGTTGAAAGCAGTCATGATTTTACATAAGCCTGAGACTATATTTTATAACTTTCTCAGTATGTTACTTTTTTAATATATGCAAATTCAATTAAAAATTTTTAAATTAAAAAATAATTTGGTGCTATTCAAGCATTGACTGTCAGGTAGAGATTGCTATTCCAAAATAAACTGAATATAATAATTGAGTTGCATTTCTAGATAAAAACACCCTTGTGTTGGTGAAGTGCCAAAATTTTGTCAGTGCCTTATTTTTAAGCAAGCTTTCCAGGCAGTGCTAGTGGTAAAGAACCTGCCTGCAAATGCGGGAGACGTAAGAGACGTGGGTTCAATTCCTGGGTTGGGAAGATCCCCTGGAGGATGGCACAGCAACCCACTCCAGTATTCTTGCCTGGAGAATCCCATGGACTGAGGAGCCTGGCAGGCCACAGTCCATGGGGTTGCACAGCTGGACAGAACTGTAGCAAATTAGCACATGTTGTCATAGTTATCTTACAAGTTGCAGTACAATCATCTGTTGGTGTCGGCCCCTGTGAACACCAAAACCTGCAGATGCTCAAGACCCTTGTACAACAAAATGGTGGAGTATTTGCATGAGCCTACACACGTCCTCTTGTTTACTTCATTATTTCTTCCAATTGTATTGAGATACAATTGATAAGGGCCTGGTGGCTCTGCTCGTAAAGAATCCACCTGCAATGTGGGAGACCTGAGTTTGATCCTTGGGTTGGGAAGATCCCCTGGAGAAGAGAATGGCAATCCACTCTAGTATTTTGGCCTGGAGAATTCCATGGACTGTATAGTCCATGGGGTCGCAGAGTCGGACATGACTGAGCAACTTTCATGTAAAAACAGATTCTGATTATGTATTACGGGCTTCCCAGGTGATGCTAGTGGCAAAGAACCCACCTGCCAGTGCAGGAGACGGAAGAGACGTGGGTTCAATCTCTGGGTCTGGACGATCCCCTAAAGAAGGAAATGGCAACCCACTCCAGTATTCTTGCCTAGAGAATCCCATGGACAGAGGAGCCTGGCGGGCTACAGTCCATGGAGTCACAAAGAGTTGGACACAACTGAAGCATGCAGGTAATTGATATGCAACATGGTATGTTTTAGGGCACACAGCATAATGGTTTGATTTATAAACATTAAGAAGTGATTGTCACATTAGGTTTTAGTGGACTTCCAAGTTTAGTGCACATCATCTCACATAGATAAAAAATGAAAGAAGCAAAAAAACACCTTTTTCTTCTAGAGAACTCAGGATTTATTCTTCAGAACTTTCATAAATAACACAGCAGTGTGAATTATATACTTATCACATTGTACATTATAGACATAGTATTTATGTATCTTATAACTGGAAGTTTGTGCCTTTTTGATTGCCTTGATCCAGTTACCCCTTCCTCCAATTCCTGCTTCTGATAAACACAAATCTGATCTCTCTTTATGACTTAGTGAAGTGAGTTTGTTATAGAAGTTTAATTGAACTACAACAGTATGTTAGTTCTTGCTACACAACATAGTGATTTGATATTTCTACCATTTCAAACTGATCACCCTAAGTCTGCTTACAGTATGTCACCACACAAAGATATTACATAGTTGTTGACTGTATTCTCCACACTGTATGTTTCATAACCAAGACTCATTTACTTGGCAGTTGGAAGTTTGTACTTCTTAATCTCCTTCCTCTCTTTCCTCCCTTTGCCTCCCTCCTCTCTGACAACCACCTGTTTATTCTCTGTATCTATAACTCTGTTTCTCTTTCCTTGTTTTTTGTTCATTTGTTTTGTAGATTGCATGTATAAGTAAAATGCAGTACTTGTCTTTCTCTGTCTGACTTATTTCACTTAGCCTAATACTCTCTAGGTCCATTCACATTGTCACAATAGCAGGATTTCTTTTTTATGGCTGAGTAATATTCCATTGTATGTGGGCATATGCATGTTTTCTTTATCCATTCATCCATGGATGGGCACTTTGGTTGGTTCCATATCATGGCTATTGTAAATAATACTGCAGTTAGCATAGGGGTGCATATATCTTTTCTAATTGGTGTGTGTGTGTGTGTTTTGCTTTCTTAGGATAAATACCCAGGAGTGGAACTGCTTAATCTTATGGTACTTCTACTTTAAATTTTTTTGAGGAATCCCCATACTGTTTTCCATAGGGGCTGCACCAATTCACATTCCCACCATCAGTACACAGGGTTCCCTTTTCTCAACATTCTCATCAACACTTGTTTGTTTTCTTTTGCATAACTGCCATTCTGACAGGTGTGAGGTGGTATCGTGTTGTGGTTTGATTTGCATTTTTGTGATGATTAGTGCTTTCCAGGTGGCACTAGGGGTAAAGAACCTGCCTACCAGTGCAGGAGACAAAAAGAGACGCAGGTTCAATCCCTTGGTCAGGAAGATCCCCTGGAGAAGGGCATGGCAACCCACTCCAGTATTCTTGCCTGGAGAATCCCATGGACAGAGGAGCCTGGCGGGTCACAAATAGACACAACTGCATGACTTAGCACAGCACAGATGATTAGTCATTTTGAGCATCTTTTCATGTGCCTGTTGGTCATCTGGATGTCTTCCCCAATGTCTTTTGCCCTTGTTGAACATAGAGTGATGGGCAGGCACCACATAATTGTTGAATATGTCAACGTATTACATGCATGGTCCCTGAAAGTGGATTCAGACCCTGGTTAGGTCAAAATGGGGGGACCTCCAGAAAGAGAGGGATGTGTTGCTAGGCCACACATGGCCCTGGGAAGCCATCTCATGAAAGTGCATTCACCTACTGCTCATCCTCACCAAACATTCTCTTCATGCTAAGTGAAAGTCAAAGTTGCTCAGTCGTGTCCAACTCTTTGTGACCTCATGGACTGTACAGTCCATGAAATTCTCTAGGCCAGAATACTGGAGTGGGTAGTCTTTCCCTTCTCAGGGGATCTTCCCAACTCAGGGATTGAACACATGTTTCCTGCATCGCAGGCGGATTCTTTACCAGCTGAGCCACAAGGGAAGCCCAAGATTACTGGAGTGGGTCACCTACCCCTTCTCCAGGGGGTCTTCCCGACCCAGGGATCGAACTCAGGTCTCTTGCATTGCAGGCAGATTCTTTACCAGCTCACCTACCAAGAATTAAAAAGATATGGTCCTTGTCTTGAAGAGGTCACATTACCAAATAATTGAGCCCATTATGAGTTATATGAATAATGCAGTCTATTTCCCTTAAATCTGTGGATTTAATATGGAGTATGGAGTATGTTGCTAGTAGTAATTTCTGGAATAACATTTAAATCTTCCCTAGTAAAACACAAAACACTAGACCTTAAAGGAAATGAGATGTATTTTTTGTTAATCAACAAAAAGGAGAAGATACCTTCCTCTCCCAATTTCTACCTCTAATCTGAGGACAGGGCCTTTTCTACCTCTGGATGTGTTTGGCTCTACATGGCTACTGTACAATGTTAATTACTCTCTTCTGAACCATACCTCAGCTGTGTGGGTCCCATGTTTCCTAGGCGTGGGGTGAGGGGAGGAATGGGGACACATCATCCTAATGATCCGGTTGTAATTCCACCCCTTACTTTTACTAAACCACTACTCACACACTGTTTACTACATGCCAGACACTGTCTTGAATTCCTTGAAAACATTAACTCACTGAATTCTCTTACCTCTAATGAGACACACTCTATGGTTTATGCCCAAAGACACATTTCTCCCCAGTCTTCCTCACAAGGCTGCATCATAAGAGGCGAAAGCTTTTATATCTCATTGGCTTTATTCCGCCTGTAACTGGCATGAGCATCAGATTGTTTCTGACTCGATTGCTTTGTTTTACTTTGGAAATCTAAGTATTGTTTTGGTCAGGTTTTGCTGATTTATACATATATCTTTGGGTAAAAAATCTTGCAGTGCAGGAGACACTGGAGACCCAGGTTCGAGCCCTGGGTTGGGAAGATTCCCTGGAGGAGGAAATGGCAAACCACTCCAGTATTCTTGCCTGGAGAATCCTATGGATAGACGAGCCTGGTGATCTACAGTCCAGGGAGTTGAAAAGGGACATGACTGAGCCATTAACTTTAACCAAAATACACTCAAACATTATTGCTATTTAAAATGTCAGTTTTCTTTTGTTGGAAAAATGCAACATGCAAGCACTTTGTGCTTTTTCTCCCTTGTATCTTCAAACTGAGATGATCACAAACATTTGGTTCTGGGGATCAGCTAGACAACTTCTCTTTCCATCCTTAGGTTATCATTAACTAGATAGTCTGAAAAAACTCTCTCACTACAGGCAAAGAAGCAAACACTGGATAAAATCTAACAAATCTTAAGTACATGCCCTTTAAATGCAGAACTGAACTCACAGGAAGAAAGGGAAATCCCTGAGGCCAAAACCAGAAAAAGGTTTGAGAATCAGAGAAGCATCTGAGCAGATGTCAGTGCTGCCCAGGAGAAAGCTGGACTGGTATAGGTAATGCGCAAACTAAAGATGAGACCCCCCCAAAAAATGACTTAAAAACACACCTACCCTCACTGGGTTACTTGGGTTATGGCAGCAAACATTGCATATCAGTAGGTACAGAATAAACTCTTCAATAAATGGTGAGAGGACAACTGGTCATCCATTTGGAGAGAAAGACAGTGGAATCTTTACTTGACACAGTTTAAACAAATCAGTGTCAGATGAATTAAAGACCTACACATAAAACTTGAGAATGCAGGAAAAGATGAGACCTTGTTTCTAAACATACAAAAATGCTAACACTTAAGAGACAGATAATTCAACTACCTGAAAATGTAA